GCCTTTAGGATGTGGGCTATCTGGAGGAAGTGGTACTCTGGCTGTGGGACTTGATGGCTGTGATACAGTCCATCCTTTTCATCCCAATCTCCTTGCTTACTGGCTGGTGCTATGTAACAAACATTTGTTGACATCAGTAAGCCTTCTCCACCATGAAGGACTGTATTCTCTCCGTGAGTCAGAACAAAGCCTGCCCCCAAGTTCCTTCTTTAGAATAAACAAGTAACTAACCCACAACTGTATGTCCTGAACTGATTTTCATCATGGTCTAATGGACACTGTTGTCTTGATTACCTCCTTGGCACACTGTTGGGAAGACAAAGGTTCCTGGATTAGGGACTTGGGAAGGCAAACCACTGTAGCCGACATTGACAGACGAGATCTGCAGCCCAGGAGGGGAGTGTCATATGCCATGTCATACAGGGTTACTTTCAATTGTGCTAGGAATACATTGGATGGGGGACAGGCTTTGTAGTAACAAGAATACGAGGTGTTCCTGGTCCCCACACAAGGGTGCCGCTCCCTGCTTTGCATGATCTCACAGCTGGTGGGAACTGAGACTTGTTGCTTGTGGGTTTGCTGAGCTGCACCAGGCCTTGTGATCAGGAAGGCTGTGGGCCATAGGGTCTCACCTGTGAAAGCAGGATGGAGAGGGGATACAGAGCTGGGTCCCTTGAGGACTCCCCATGTGACCCTATGCCAACTCTGCACATGGTATGAAGTTTGGATTTTGAACTGTAAACCACAGCTGCTGCTTGTGCAGAATGCCATGAAAATGACAAGGATAAATTCATGTGCCCAACCAGGAAGCACCTCACAGGTAGGGTGCGGGAAGCTTGTTTTCTTTCCATACCTGCATGGAATCGTTCAAGTCTGAAGCTTTCATTTTGCTCTGTAATTATGCATTAATTCTTTGAGCCTCCTGGGGTATGAGATGAAGCTGGCGTATGTGAGTTTATTCTCATCTGTGATGCACCGTGTCCTGCCGATCTGCCAAGAGGGGGGAGAGGGAGGAACCCCTGACAGTGCAGAACCCTGAGGTTGTGGAAACTTAATACTTAACGTTGTTTTCTTTTGCTTAAAACCAAACAAAATTTTTTCTGAAGAAGCTGTGGGTGGGAAAAGGGGATGTGAGATGTAAGAGCCAAACACAATTTGAGGTTTAATCCAGAAGATGCTCTTTGTGTCTGTTGGCACTAGTTCCTTCTTTAAACAGTTTAAGTGATTAGTCCTCTGCTTTCCAAACATGGCACCCCTCCTCTGGGCAGTGATAGCCCTGGCCAATTATATGGTTGGCTAGTTGCATATAAAGGACACATCCACTGGGGGAATGGACCCCAGTGAGCTGTAGGGTTTCATTCCGGCTGAAGTAGATGCAGCTCAGAGCGTCGAGAGGCATCTTTGCTCTTGGTTTATAAATGGATGTTAAGGAAAGTAGCTGTGAGTCGTGCTGCACGGATTCCCAGACAAGGGAAGAAAGCAGAATGTGAACTGAAAAACTTGAGTCCACAGATACAAGGTTCGGAATGGAGTCTCCAGTTGACCAGTCATGACCTACAGATACAAGCGGCTAATTCACTCTCCTTGAAGTGAATTTTACTGTTTTTGAAACAAGTGCGTCATGTCTAACACTGATAGGCAACCACAGCCATCTCATTGGAGTGGAAAGATGGAGTGAAATTAAGATGAGAACACCATCTATCCAGGAACTGTCTTTGGGTCCCCTGTCTCATCGTCTTCCGTAGTACCTGAAACAGCTCAATTCCATTTGTGTGAGAATTTGGGAAAGGATGTCAGTCACATATTTTAGATTTCTTCTCAGCTACATCAACCATTAATTACTGTATCAAAGAATTATTTCTTCTTGTAAAGATATTTCAAATACAGTTAGAGGAGAAGTCAGAGAAATCACAACCAAGCCACAAGGCTTTGTGACTGCTGGGCTCATGGGTAGCCTTGAGGGGCAGGGTTTACCTAGAATCTGCTAAACAGAGGTAAGCCAGGGAGAGGACTACCTGGCTCTCACCCCTCTGCTGATGTCTTGTGGGGCTGGGGTGCTCTGTAGCTGTATTCTAGAAACAACTCTGCCTTTGCATCTAAGTCATCCAATCCCCCAAACAGACAGAAGAAAAAGATTAAATGGCAGATGTTTATGAGAAATTGGAGAGAGGCAGCTGTCCCTCCCACTCCACTCCCCCATCGCCATGGCAGCCAGAGAACCGTATATCCTCAGGGAAGTGTGGGCTCAACTCACTATCCACTCCATCCTACTCCCCATTGCCATGGCAGTCAGGAAACCATGTGTCCTAGGTAAGTGAGGGCTCAGTTTGCCCTGCTGAGGAAAGGTGACTGGATCAGCCCAGGCTCATGGTCGCCACCCTGACACTGTTGCACAGAAGGAATGGAGTCTTGTGCTACTGTCACAATGGTCCCGTGTATATTTAGCATGTGCACGGCCCAGTGGCTGGTGGAACTGCCTCTGAGCCCTTGGTTAAGCCTTTCTCCAAAGACACTAAAGAAGGATACTTAGCAGCCAGAGGGGATTACTTGTCTTTGCCCTAGCAGGCGGGCATGCAAGGGCTGTCCAAGGCTGGCAGAGAAATGGAACTCTAGCTGTATCATTCTCACACCTCAGGAGCCAGGCAGGGATAAGCAGAGGCTCTAGCTCTCCTAAAGACGCTTTGCTGCCTGCTGGTTCCTTTCTGAAGGCCAGGCTCACAGGCACAACTGCAGCCAGCAGGGTAGAGACCGGTGCAGAGGAGCTGCCTGACTGGCCTTTTAACTTCTTGTTTGATTTATATTTTGATTGACATATAATAATTATACATATTAACGGAGCACAATGTCTGGATGCATATATACTTTGTGTAACGATCAAGCTGGGATAATTAGCATATTTATCACCTTCAGCGTTGATCGAGTCTTTGTGAGGTGAGCATTCTAACCCTTAGTTCTTGCTCTTTTGAGGTTTAGAACACGATGGCTGTGGTCATCCCCTGCTGTGCTGTAGAACTGGGCCATTGAACTTGTTGGCTTGTCTCCCTCTCCCCTTCTCTTCCCCAGCATTTGGTGCACTAGTCAACAGGGAATTGGAACAGCACACCCCTCAGGCACTAGTGCTGATGCTCATGGGAGTTGAAACAGTGCTCCCTGAAAAGTCCACTCCAGGCCCTGCAGGAAGAGAAGTGAACCTTATTTATACATTTCCACTGAGCACAGTAATTGGTTCATCCATCTGGTCCACAGCCTTGGGACGCCTCCTGCAACTTGGTCCTGCTGCTGGGTTCACAGTATACATCCTGGGGTCTGATGGCACTAAGGGCAGGGATGACATTTCTCTTGTCACCCTATCTCTCTCTGTAATGATATAGCCCATTTACTTACATATCTGACACAGTTTTCACACTTAACAGAACACACCATACAAATGAAGCTAAAATTTTATTTATGTACCTTTTTAAAATTCCTTATTTAAACCCACTTCGTTGAAGGATCACTGGCATGTAAATGGTCATGCATATTGGATACACATACTTGTGCAAATAGCACCACTACCAAGGCCATAGATGTGCTCCTCACTTCCAAAGCCCTGCTATGTCTTAGTTACGTTTCTGCTGCCATGACAAAACACCATGAGCAAGGCAACTTATGAAAGAAATCACTGGGGGATTGCTTACAGCTTGAGAGGTCAAGCCCATCATGCTTGGGAGCATGGCTACAGGCAGGCATTGATAACTTCTTTTGTGCCGACAGTGGACTTGAGCCATGCCCTACACCTGAACGACTTCAGCCGACAGCAGTAGAAAACTATTCTTTTAAACACACACTCCAGGATGATCTCGCCTTACACCACAAATCCCATTAGTTAAAATGCTGATGGCTCTTACTTCTCCACTTCCATAAGTAATTTCTGAAGCAATATTGAATAAAAGCTACATTTAATTTCACAAATTATTTGCACAAGTGCATTCATTTTTTATAGAGGAGAGAGAAGGGTAAAGACAGAGATTGATGTGGGCACCATCTCCTTAGAATGAATGCAACTGAAATTGGGGTATCTGAAAAACCTTAAAGGTTGGAAATTGCCAGCAAATCGGCAATGGCCTGGCTATTCCCGTTGTAAAGCAAATGCTTTGGAGCCTTCTCAATGGAATGTAGCAGCTTGGAGAATAAAGAGCAGATCTGGAAGCTATTAGAGCTACACAGAGCCATTATCTCCAGTGCAAAGACGATTTCTCTAGGAGAAAGGCAGGTCAAGGTGGCAGTGGGCACATGCCATTGTAAAGATAAAATTAGATTTTCCTGTCACTGCTCCTGAAAACGCAGCGATCACATTATATTTCATTTTTCCTATCACAGAGACCAGTAGTAGATGGCTGCGCTTGTGATCCTGAAAAACGCCAACGAGTAGAATTCTTGTTTTTCATTCTGCACGTTCTGAACCCGCAGGTGAAGCTGTTAGAGAGCAGGTGCTGAGCAAGGAGGAAGCCGAGAGTCGGCATTGTAATTCTTTCTGCAATTTGTTGCCCTTGCAGCCTCCGACTCCCTGCTAACCCAGGCAGAGGCGTGAGATGAATCTATCTCAGTGGTAATTTCAGCCAGAGAGCCCGACGTGCAAGTGACAGAACGGCTCAGGTGCACTGGCCCCAAAGAGAAGCAGGGAGAGCCAGTCTCTCCTCCCGGAAGACAAGGCCCTGCAAGCTAAGAAGGCCTGAGGGACTTCAAATGGAGAGGCTGGGCCAGTCGCACAAATCAACAGCACCACGCCCTGTGTGCTAGCTAAATGTGGAGCGCTCGTGTCCAGGGAAACGGGGGCTGGGCATGACAGCCGGAGCTGTGGGTGCTACTGCCTATGCCGGCTCAGCTCTCTCTCCACTCACTTCCTCTGCGTTTACAGCAAATCGTCACCTGGAGATTTCTCATGCATGCTGACCTTTGCCAGAAGCATATTTCAAAGACGCTCCACACTTAGCCTCCTTTGTCTTATCTCTTATTGTATACAGCGCCAAGTGTAGCTGCATTCAATTCTGATAGAGTGTATTTGCAGTTCCACCCCAGGAAGCCTGGAAATTCAGAACGACTGCTTAATCGTAAATCCCCGAAGTATGCTTTAATCCAAAATCCAATCAAAATGAGGAAACCCCCTGCGAGCTCGGCCTTTTCTGCCAATCCAGTCTTCCACATACATCACTCACTAAATGAAACGAGAACAAGAGATAGATTGCACGCTGCGCTGAGGGTATGGTGAGGCGGGGATGCTGAGGGGTTCCTGCCGCTTCCTGTTGAGGTACAGGAAAGGAGTATACAGTCAAAGCAAAGAAGCTGCAGGCTCTGGCCACCGTCCAGCAAATGCTGGCTGCAGCTGAGAGCCATCCTTCCTGCTTTGCCTTCTGTATGTCTATCTGCAAGATGGAGACCTGTCTTTAGCTCTTCATTATAGATACATGTGATTGGCCTCTATAATAGCACACAAGAGTCACCCAAGATATGCAAGGGCAGAGGAAGCAGTCAGGGCTAAGATGTGAGGAGGGTGAGCAGCCATGAGGACAAAAGTATGAGACTGGACCCAGGTAAGAAACCAGGGCTGGTATATCCATCACCCCAGGACCCAGGCAGCCTGAATACAGTGGCCGCAGGATCCCCCCAGCTGTTGGAAAGTCAACAGGAAGGCAGAACTCTTTATGTCAGCCCACAGTTCCCTGGTGTCTTTCTTCCCCCATCTGTCAGTGCCTGATTTATTCTGTTAAACCCCACATTCCTCATGGTACCCGGGAGAGCAGAGAGCCACCTGCAAATGTGAGACTGTGTAAAGAAACCCAGTCTCCTTCCTCCTGATCCCTTCCAACGGAGCATAGAGGCAGGATAACATGCCATCACCATTGTCAACATGTGATCCCTTAGAAGGGTCACCGATGGTTCCCCAGTTAATGCATGGCAGACACAGGCTTCTTCACAGCCCTAAAACACCCTGTGAGCAGCTCTCAGTCACTGCTTCACACAATACCCCCTTGCACCAAACTAAGACATATTGCAAGCACTTTCCATGTCCTCTTAGAGAAATTGGCCTCTTCCTCGGTCCCCCGTGGTCCCTCCAGAAGCTCCCTTTGTAGCAGGAATGTGCTCTACTGCTCTTCTCTGTGTGTCATCTCTAACAAGGAGTTATAGATATGGGAAGGGAAAAAATGAACAAATATTATGGCACTGGATTGAAATTGAGGTTAGTGATGTTTTGAAATGTTAAATAATTTTGCATTAAAATGTACACTAATGTATACACATATGTGATATGTGAGAGCATCAATGAAGCTGAAGAAATGAACCTACATGTAAATATGTATACTGTGGGCATATAATGGAGACATTTCATACTCTGTCCCTGAGAGTACCCTGAGCCAGTGATACTCCTTCTGAATCTCTAGGGCTGACCCAGGAATGGGGAGGAGAAAGTACTTTTTTTTCTTTTTGAGTCCAGATCTTTTCAGTTTCATTATTTTTCTCCCCTTCTTATTTTATTTTTTTTAAATTAGAAACAAGCTTCTTTTACATGTCAATCCAAGTTTCCTCTTCCTCCTCTCCTGCCCTCTACCAACCCTGACCCCCTATCTCATCCCCTTTCTGCTCCCCAGGAAGGGTGAGGCCTTCCATGGGGGATCTTCAAAGTCTGTCATATCTTTTGGAGCAGGGCCTAAACCCTCACCCATGTGTCTAGACTGACAGAGTATCCCTCTATGTAGAATGGGCTCCCCAAAATCCATTTGTGTACTAGGGATAAATACTGATCCACTACCAGAGGCCCCATAGATTAACCAGATCTCCAAACTGACATCCTCGTTTAGGGGATCTGGAACAGTCCTATGCTGTTTCCCCAGTTATCAATCTGGGGTCCATAAGCAACCCCTTGTTCAGGTCAGCTGTTTCTGTGGGTTTCTACAGCCTGGTCTTGATGCCTTTGCTCATAACTCATCCCTTTCTGCAACTGGATTCCAGAGTTCAGCTCAGTTTAGCTGTGGGTGTCTGCCTTTGCTTCCATCAGCCATTGAATGAAGGTTCTGTTTCCCAGACTCTCTGGCCATGGGATTGTAGGCTGGCACTCCCCAGATCTATGTCTAAAATCCATATATGAGAGAGTACATGTCATGATTCTCTTTTTGTGACTGGGTTACCTCACTCAGGATGGTTTCTTCTAGTGCCATCCATTTGCCTGCAAATTTCAAGATTCCATTGTTATTTTTTTTCTCCATTGTGTAAGTATACCACATTTTCTCTATCCACTCTTCAGTTGTGGGGCATCTAGGTTGCTTCTAGGTTCTGGCTATTACAAATAATGCTGCTATGAACATAGTGGAGCAGATGCCCTTGTTGTATGAATTTGCCTCTTTTGGATATATGCCTAAGAGCAGAATTGCTGGGTCTTGTGGTAGGCTGATTCCCATTTTCTTGAGGAATCTCCATACTGGTTTCCAAAGGGGCTGTACAAGTTAGCACTCCCACAAGCAGTGGAGGAGTGTTCTCCTTTCTCCACATCCCCTCCAGCATAAACTGCCATTGGTGTTGCTGCCTTTTTGTCTTGTTGGCTGTGTCCTTTGCCTTACAGAAGCTTCTCAGTTTCAGGAGGTCCCATTTATTAATTGTTGAACTCATGTCTGTGCTACTGGTGTTATGTTCAGGAAACGATCTTCTGTACCAATTGTTTTGAGGGTACCACCTACCTTCTCTTCTAAGAGGTTCAGTGTGGCTGGATTTATATTTAGGTCTTTGATCCATTTGAACTTACGTTTTGTGCATGGTGATAGATATGGATCTATCTGCAGTCTTCTACATGCCAACATCCAGTTATGCCAGTACTATTTGTTGAAGATGCTTTCTTTTTTTCCATTGTATAATTTTAGGTTCTTTGTCAAAAATCAGGTGTTCATATGTATGTGGGCTAGTATCAAAGTTTTCAATTCAAATCCATTGGTCTACCTTTCTGTTTTTGTGCCAATAGCAGGCTTATTTTAAGACTATAGCTCTAGCTGGGCGGTGGTGGCACTCGGGAGGCAGAGACAGGTGGATCTCTGTGAGTTTGAGGCCGGGCTGGACAGATAGCCTCCAAAACAATACAGAGAAACCCTGTCTCGTAAAAACAAAAAACAAACAAACAAAAAAACCTTAAAAAAATAAAAAAAATTATGAAGCTGATGGCCATTTGCTATGGTTTCTTAGTGGCTAGCTCTGACTTAATTATGAACCCATAATTACTAATATATATTTTTGTTAGGTCTTAGCTTACCAAGGACGCAGCCTCATGGGTCCTGTCTTCCTGGGATCACATGGTGACCCTCTACTCTTGACTACATTTCCCAGAATTCTCATCGACTCCTAGTCCCACCTATCTTGCTTTCCTATTGGCCAACAGGTGCTTTATTTATCTTGCTTTGGATTTGTTGTTGTTTGCAGAAATGTGTGTGGATTTCCACCCCTTTTTTCTTTTGGGAAAGTGGGATTATCTATTAACTATGTTTTTCTGGTTGTAGTTAACTTCCTTATGTTGGAATTTTCTTTCCAGAATCTTCTGTAGGGCTGGATTAGTGGATGTATACTGTTTAAATTTGGTTTTATCATTGAATATCTTGTTTTCTCCACTTATAGTAATTGAAAGCTTTTCTGGGTATAGTAGTCTGGGCTGGCATCCATGGTCTCTTAGTGTTGGTATAATATCCATCCAGGACCTTCTGGCTTTCAGAATTTTCATGGAGAAGTCCGGCGTAATTCTGATAGGTTTGCCTTTATATGTTACTTAACCTTTTTCCTTAGCTGCTCTTAATATTCTTTCTTTATTCTGCATGTTTGGGGTTTTGATTATGTGGTGAGGGGACTTTTTTGTGGTCCACTTTATTTGGTGTTCTGTAAGCTTATACTTTCATTCGCATGTCTTTCTTTAGGTTGGGAAACTTTTCTTCTATGATTTTGTTGAATATTTTTTCTGCCCCTGTGAGGTATGTTTCTTTACCTTCTTATATACAATTTTTTTACATTTTTGTCTCATATTTCCTGGATATTTTGTGTTAGGGATTTGCTGGACTTAAGTTTTTTTTGGCTAATCAATCTGTTTCTTCTAGTATATCTTCCACCCCTGAGATTCTTTCTTCCATCTCTTGTATTCTGTTGGTTATGCTTGCATCTATAGTACCTGACCGTTTACCCTGCTTTTCTATTTCCAGCATTCCCTCAGACTGTGGTTTTTTATTGTCTCTGTTTCAGCTTTCAATCCTTGCACTGTTTGAATTGTTTCTTGTAATTTTTGCTTTTTCTTTTCCTCTGTTTCTTGCATTTTTGGTTTATTTGTTCTTTCATTTCTTTAAGGGATTTCATCAGGATTTTCATGAAGTTGTTTTTAAGGTCATTCTCTTCTGCTGGTCTTGCTGGCTCTCCTATTCCAGTGGATGGAGGCGTTCCTAGTACCGGGGCCTTGGTAGGCTCAGGGTGGGCTGGACCTCGTCGGGATGGGATCTATAGTGTGCAGTCCCCAGTCCTCAGCTGGTTCTGTGCATACTGGATGGCGAGCTGGAAGCAGGCCAGCAGCATTGCATGGGGTAGTCATGCTGGCAGGGGACAGTGACTAAAGCAGCCCAGCAGCAGGTGACAGGGATCCAGCATCATGAATATGTTCAAAATAAATCATGGCAATAACAGATGATAAGCTAGCTAGGAAGACAGAGTCATCACTCTGTACCAGTGTAGAAGCCAAGTGGAAAGCTGTGTGAGAAAGGGATATTTACACAGTGTGAAGAGATCAGCTCTACGTGGAGCAGCCTGGAAGACATCGTCCTCACATCTGCTCAAAATGAACATCTCCAGCCATAGAAGAGATCAAACCCCCATAGGATCTTGCGATGCGGCTGGAAGGATGCTGGCTTCCAGTGTAGCATGGCTCCCACAGCTGTGAAGCTATACAACCACAGGCACGTCTAAATTGCAGGGCATTTGGGTGAGGGCCAAGCAGCCAAGCAAAGCCCAAAGAACTGCCTCCATAAAGGACTTGTGAAGAATGGCTACACCTGAAGTCAACATTTGATTTCTAAGCAGAGTCCTCGAAAGGATTATCAAAGTGACCATGATCCTTGACTGAAGTCAGGGAGAGCTGGCTGGGGAGGTAGTCACTGATTTTGAGGGTAATATCAGACCGTCCTTGTTTTTGGATAATACCTACTCATGCCGTCTGGATGGCAACTCACCCCCAATAGTTTAGAAAGAGGTTCTTTGTATCATACTGTGAATTCCCCCATGTTTAGGCTTGTTTCTAAAACAATCAAATAAACAAAAGCAATGCCCCCCAAAAATCCAAAGCCATAAATGTATGTAAGAATGTTTCAGATCTATTATTTTTTTGAAGTTTTGCAATAACTTTTTTGTAAAGAAAAGCTATGATTTTTTTCAGACATCAGATAAAAGGGCCCATGGAGGAGGTATTAAATGACACATTCCAGTCAAAGCTCCAACTTTCTCTTGGGCCAAATCAGTACCCATTTAGTCTCTAGACAGGGCATGGTTGCAGGACCCAGGCTATGACAAGGCACCAGGGGCGATAGGCTTGCCACAGGGTCCTCACTCTCCAATTACTGTGCTTAAGTAATTGGAACCTGCTTTAAATGCCTATCCCAACGTCTCCCTCAGTGATTCTGGTTCTGTAGGTTTGGAGCAAGACCCAGGAAATCTGCTTTTTAACAAGCCATCTGGGTGATTCTGACATAGGTCATCCACAGGTCAGACTTTGAGTAGCATTGAACCTGATTAGCCATCCTTGGTGGCTACTGAAAGAAATTTAAATCAGGTGCCATGCACACAGTTTCATCATCTAGCTGCATGGAACCTAGAACTCAGAGATGGGGTACAACACCTGCAATGCTGCCCTCCACTAATTTTGAAAGCAACAAATTGAGTACCTTAGGTCATAGCACTCCGACACTCTGGGTCTCCAGGTGTCCTTGTCTGACTCCTCATCCAGAGAATCCTGTAAGAGGCAGAGAAGCCAGGAGCTGAGAGCCAGAGAAACCACAGGTGAAAATTACCTTAGAAGTACTTCCCCTACTGAAAACTTACTCCATCTCTTCGGAAGAGAGAAAGAGGACAATGCTGAGGGTTTTGGCTCCTTCTAATCCAGCTGTAGTATTCTGCCAGTCTGCATGCTGCTTGCCACAGGGGTGGTCTCTCTAAGGAGGAGATGGAGAAACTGCCAGGAGGAAGGAGGAATATGTTCCTTTAAAATATTTCCACCAAAGACAACCCCACTTAATGTCTTAAATATATCTAGAATGTGTGGGAGTGTTTCCAGTGTGCCTGTTTTTAGTGTAAGCACACCTGAAGGAAGTGAAGTAGGTTAATCTTCAAGAAAAGAGAAAACCATAAGACCCTCCTATTAATGTCACCGGAGAAACGCCTCTTGTCTGAGAGAGAAAGGGAGGAAAAGACTACTTGTATGAGGAAGAGTAGTAGGTTCTCTGCTGAGCTTCTTAATGTTTTGGAAATCAGTTTTTCTTTTCTTTTGTTTTTTCCAGACAGGGTTTCTCTGTGTAACTTTGGAGGCTGTCCTGGAACTCACAGAGATCCACCTGCCTCTGCCTCCTGAGTGGTGGGATTAAAGGCATGCGCCACCACTGCCTGGTGGAAATGAGCTTCTTGGCTTAGAAAAGATGCTAGTTTGAACTTTGGAACTCGGTGCTGGGACCTGGACACAGTCAAAGGTCACTGGGTATACTGGGACTCTGGCATGTCTACGTAGCCCGGGGGGCCTGTCAGAACCTGGACATGTCCTTATAGACCCACAGTTCTGCTGAAGTACACTTACATAGATCTGCTGGGCTCTACATATGGCCACATGGGTCATCAGGTCAGTTGGGCATGGCCATTTAGGTCACCAGATCGCTAGGCAGGGCTAGCAGCACCTCTACCTGACATACAGTGGGACAATTCTACCGAGTCACTCATCCTTGGGAAAGGGAGGGAGGGGGATCGTCTGCTTGCTCAGTGGGTGCAATACCTTGAGCGCTCACAGTGTTGGTTTAGTTTGGGCTTCTTCCCATTCTCATAGATTCACCAATCCTAGTGCCAGAGGAAAGAAAAATGAAATTAAAAACCACTCCACACTGATTCCTGCAGTCCCTGATGATGAACTGTGACCCTGTGGTAACCTTCCTTACATTGTCAGGGCTTCATCCCAGACAGCTGAAAATTTTCTCTAGTCCCAAAGCAAAATGAGCATTTCCCTGATTTTCTAGAGTTATTTGCCCAGGATTTTGTGGCCCTGCCATTCATCTTGGATTCATCCTGTATGAATTTTCCTGGGGCTCTTCTAAGTTCTCAGTATCAGGAAGAAATAGCCCTTTGGAGACAGGTGCTACTTAATACTCCTGGACTCTGGTACAAACAAAATGTGTGGACTGGAGATACAGCTCAGTGGGCAAAGGGCTTGCCCTGAAAGCACTTGGATCTCCAGCTCGCTGGGTGTGGCTCCGTATGTTATAACCCCAGCACTGAGGAAGTGGAAAAGGAGCACTCCAGGTCACTCACCCATCAATATTCTCCAGGCTCACTGAGTGATCTTGTCAAAAATGCAGAGATCAACAGATGAAGAACTCAACATTGATGTCTACCTCCACAGGTGTATGCACGGACATGTGTATCTCCACACATATATTCATATAAATATCACACATACACATACACAGAGACATGCAATTGGGACACTGAGGTTCAATGCTGTAACAACAACTATGGGAATCTGCTCCGGTGAGATTCCCAAAGTAAAGGTGATGGTGAGCTTGTGGTCCATTAAGAGTCTGATCTCTGCTTCCAAGATGATGCTCTGTCTTCTGTGATGGGAGATAGGAGAACAAAGAGGGGCAAATTCCTTTCAAGAATCCCTTTCATAAGGATGTCTACCACTATTCATGAGGGCAGTACCATCTCCTAAAGGCCCCACCTCCTAATACTGTCACTTTGGCCATTAGTTTGCCACCCCTGAATTTTGGAGGCATACATACATGTATGCTATAGTGAATTTCATAGAAAGTGAAGAAGTCAGCTGGGCAGTGGTGGCACACGTCTTTAATCCTGGCACTCGGGAGGCAGAGGCAGAAGCAGGTGTATCTCAGTGAGTTTGAGGCCAGCCAGGTCTACAAAGTGAGTTTCAGGACAGCCAGAGTTGTTACAAAGAGAAACCCTGTCTTGAAAAACAACAACAACATAAAAACAAAACACAAAAAATAGTAAAGAAGTAATATTAGGGCTCTTTTATTCACAAATGAGTTTGATTTTAATTGCCTTGTTTAAAATGACATAACTGAGTCTCCCATGGAAAGAGTCAGGGATGAGTAGATCCAGAACTCAAATACTAACTCAACTGAAGATGCTTCTCTTCTCCTTCCCTTCAAAGACTTTGTTTTATAAAAGCTGGTAGCTTTTCTTGCTATTTTGTAAAATGTGGTAGGTCTTATCTCATCACTATTTCTCATGGTTAACTATTCTAGAAAAAAAAAGGATCTTGTCTCTGGAAACATTATGTCCAACAATTATGACTTGCCTAGGTTTGGTGCTGTCCTTGACCAGGCAGCTGAGTGTCTTATCTCACCTGGGGCAATTTTCACCCCTGGAGCAGAAGATAGAGTCAGGGAACAGAGAACCAAGCAAATGTATGTAACTGGAGGCTTTTCTGTCCTGCCTGTCCCTGCTCTGTTTCTAAATAATCACTCAGAGACTTATTTTTAATTATAATTGTTTGGCCAATGACTCAGGCGTATTACTAGCTAGCGCTTACATTTAAATTAACCCATTTCTATTAATCTGTGTATCACCACGTGGCTGTAGCTTACTGATGGTGCTCTGGCATGTTGCTCCTTGGGCGGCTGCTGGCATCTCTCAGATTCCACTCTTTTTCTCCTGTATCTCTGCTTGGATTTTCTGCCTGGCTCTATCCTGCTTTGCCATAGGCCAAAACAGCTTTATTTATCAACCAATGAGAGCAACACATATTCACAGTGTACAGAAAGGTATCCCACATCCAGCCTGTTGCTAAACTCTTCACCAAGAAAAGGGCAGACAGCTGGCCATTGATCTAAGTGTCATGAAGGCACCAAGAATCAAGTACCTGGTGAATTGTCCATCTCACTGAATAAAAGCTGTTTTGGGTATGGCGGCACATGTATGTGATCCAGAGGCATGTTGGTGGGGGCAGGTGGGTGGTTGGGGCTTTCTGGCTAGTGAGCCCAGCTTATTTGGCAATCTCCAGGTCAATGGAAGACTCACAAAAACAAGCCACTAGCTAACCGTAGAGGTCTGGAGGTCTGTATGGACAGATACCAAATGTAAATGGAGTTCTTAATTGGCCTAAGTAATAAAAACGCAGAGTCAGATATAGAGGAAAATGCTGAGAGATCAGAGAGAAAGGAGCAAGCCACAGCCACACCTTACCTCCTTAGCATCTCAGCAGACCAGAAAGTGAGTCTGTTTCTCTCTGCTTATATCCTGTTTTCTGTCCAGCTGTCTCACTTTCTGTCTGTCTGTGAAGACCTCCAGACCTCTACGGTTAGCTAGTGGGCAGCTCCATTCTCTGACCTTCAGACAGACTTTATTTGTACGAGCAAGAGACCACCACACCATGTGTTCTCTTCTTCTTGATGCAGCACCCTCTCCCCCTCTCCCTCCCTACTTTCATCCATTTTCCTCCACCTTCTTCCTCCTGCTAGCTTCCCTTCCCCATCCTCCATCTTCTTTCTCTTGGTGTTTTGGCAGCTTGTCATTAACTTAACCACAAATCTGGATGTCTTGTGTGAACCCCTTCATCTCCTTGTGGAAATCGCTCAACAGTGACCTCAGACAGGCTTCCTGATCTTTCTTTGATGACAAGACAAGTCAAGGGATAGTAGAATTCACAGTTGGAGATGGACCAGAGAGAGGCTGTGAACTTTTCCAGTGTCCCAGATGTGCAGGCCCAGTGCCAGGAGCGAGTTTTGTTTTCACCATGGCTCATTGTTCTGTTCTGTTTTTGTCCTTTCGTCTAAACCTGTGTCCCAAGTACCTTGATATCAGACACACTGCCAATTCTAGTTCTCCTTGACTCTCCTCCCACCTGGCCTTGATTGGTGATGACAGACATACTGACCCAGATGATTTCTCAGTCTCCAGCGATGTGTCTCACCACTGTTCAGTCTTCAAGGAGAAGGGAGATCCTGACTGTATTTTCTCGGTATGTTTGTGGAAAGCAACTTTTTTTTAATATATCAGAATATTTGATTTCTAAGACCATTTTGTTAATTAAGCATTCTAAGTGCAAGTGGACAGCAATGAATATACTGTGTATGGAATTAGCGTAACTTTAGAATCCTGCTATAATGGGATTCTGTTCAGAATGGCTTCCGTTGTGAAAACACACTTGGTCTTCACAAAGGTTCTCGCATCATCTGAGAATAGGTGATGGTATCCTTTAGACTCAGAGGTTGGACCAATGGAATGTCTCAGTGGATAAAGACACATGCTGCCAAACACGAAGGCCCGAGTTTGATCCCTGGGGCCCACATAATGGAAAGAGAGAACTGGCTCCCGCAAGTTGCCCTCTGGCTTCTGCATGTGCCATGATGAACTGTGCCTTGAACCATGAGCCAGAATAAACCCTTGCCTCTTAGGTTGTGCTTGTCATAGGACTTTCATCTCAGCAATGGGAAAAGAACCCAGCACAGATCTCAGCATTGCGTCATCTGTGTCATCCTCCAAGTGCCCAGTTGATAGCTGCCCCTTCTTCCTCCATTCTGCCAGCCACTTGCAAGCACTGATCTATTTCCTATCTCTGTGGTTTACCTGATCTAGACATTTCATAAAAACAGGATCCTAATGCATAGTCTTTTGCCATAGCATGCATTAGACTTTCCTTTTAATGACTAAATAATATTCTACCACATGGACAAACGAGTTGATTATTCACTTATGTGTTGATGGACACGAGTGTGACCTCTAGCTTTTGGCTTTCATGGATATTAGTACCATGCGCGCGCACACACACACACACACACACACACACACACACACACACTCATTTGTTTCCAGTTCTTTGTGAAATCTAAATTGAGGTGGGAATTTCATGCTCACATTTTAATAATAATATACTTAGCTTTTTGAGACGTTCCCAAATTATTTTCTCTAGAAAAAACATATTTTGGTGCCCACAGAGGCCAGAAGAGGGCACAGGATCCCCTAGAACTGGAGACAAGGGCAGCCCCACTGTCAGGTGAATTCTGGGAACCAAACCCAGGTTCTCTGGCAGAGCCCTTAACTGCTAAGTCAGCTCCCCAGCCACAGTCATCTTATTCTCTGAGACAGCATCCCTTTACTAACCCTGAGCTTCCCACCTTGGCTAGGTCGGTAGGCTGTGAGCTCTGGGGCCACCTGCCTCTACCCCTCTGCCCTGGGTTAACCCTCATAGTCTCACTGGGCTTTCACACCGGCACCGAGGAGCCAAGCCCATGTCCTCACGCCTGCAAGGCAAGCACTTCACCACTGGGCCATCTCCCCAGCTCTGTTTTCCAATTATAAAAACGATGTTTACCCCAGTGAATATGAAGTGGCATGCTTTCAATTTATGGTTCCCGAAGACGTTGCACATCTTTTCTTAGGGCTTTGAGCATCTGTGTGAGCTTTCTACAAAGGGCGTGTCATGAGCTGAGCGTTTTAACAAACATCCTCAGGCTTCAAGAAATTTAATGAAGCCTTCATAATATGATTTTCTACCGTAACCTGCAAGTAGATAGGATAAGGATGGGAGGGAGGCTTGGGAGTAAAAGAACAAACCCCAGGATTCTGCTCCATTGTGTTTGCTTATCTCTGCCTGGGCAGGCGGCTTTGAAAACTGAATTCTTCACTGGGCAGGAAACTCCGGCTTTTCTAAAGTTCAGGCATCCTTTACTCTGACTCTTGGAACTCTGCTGTCCTTCTGAATTGGTTGCATGCCTGGCACAGAGCTGACACCATGTGGAGTGATGAGTCTTGGCTCCTGGGTCACCTGTGCTGTTACTTCCATAGGCAAACTTCTGAATTATGTGACAGCATCCTGAGGCACCCACGTGCCTCCTTGCGTTAAGATTCTGCGCTCTTTAGATCTTCTACAGTCCCCAATTAGCTGCTTTAGGCAAACCCTGAATTCACCGTGGGGCAGAAGGATGATGTGATGGTGGGTAATGGACACAAAATTCAATGTTGGGTAGTACCTTCACTCCTACATTCACCTAGGGCATGACACATCTTACTAAGCCTTCCACGGCTCCCTCCGTGGCACTGAAGTCCCGGGTACTCCTGAAGATCTACAATGACTGGCAGCTGTGCTCACTTCCATACTACTCTGAGCTCAAGTGCTTAGCTCCAGGATGCACTGACCTTCCCATCTTCGGTTTTGAACCTGCCAAGATACTCTGCCTCAACCTTGCTCATGAAGTAACACGAATCCATCCAGGGCCAGTCAGGCAGCCAGTTTCTTCTCCCCACAGAATACCTGTTCCTCCCTGTGTCCCATTACTAGCCCCTTATAATTTGACAAAATGAACCTAGATACTAATGGCCATTTCAGAGGGGCCTTGGGCACTGCTTTCTGTTGCATAGGTGTTCCTTGTTGCTGTGACTGAGTACCTGACAGGAAGGAAGGGTTGATGTTGGCTCACAGTTTGTGGGGATACAGTCCTTCTGTCAGGGAAGGCAGGAAGGCAGAGACAGCTGGTCCCATTGCACCCTTAGTACAGAAGCTGGGAAGGATCAGGCAGTGAGGCTCCAGGCCCAACTCCCATGCCCCACTGTACCCAGCAAGGCTCTACCTCCTAAAGTGCTCTAAACTTTCCCAAACAGCGCCACCAGCCAGGAAGCAAGCATTCAGTCTGTGGGAACCTTTCACATTCAAACAACTGGCTTCCTTCTGATGGCATCTGTCCCACTACGGCAACAGCCCTGATTCTGTTATGCCTTAGCCTTTCTCTAGAAAGCGAAGTCTCCAGAGACCTCAGGCAGTCTGTTCATTGCACCTCTGTTCTGGGTAGTGCTTGCCCACTGAAGGCTGTCGCTAAGCCCAGGCTCTAAGAACTCAGGTCATAGGGAAGGAAAGCAAGCATGGACATTGTGCCCCTCCTGTGGACAGCATAAAGAGAGTAGCTGAGATGGATCTCAGAGGAGGCCTGGATCTCTCTGATGCGGATGGAGGCCTGATACCTGGAGACTTTGGTGCAGTTCATGCGCTATCCGCCAAGACTTGAGAAAGCCCAGGCAGGTAGGACTTCTGTTGTGACCCTAGCATGAACTTAAGCTGGTAGGTTTTCCATTTGGGACTTTATGGGGATATTTCTTCTTTCTTCTCTCAGTGGCAACCTTTGGACTTGCCTCAAGTCAAAGGAAGTCAAGACAAAGACTCTAAGGACCCTGTCTAGGGCACAGTGGGCACTTACAGCAGCCAGTGCTGGTGCTGGTCATTGGAACGCAGGGCAAGGTCTTCTTTTTCTTTTTCTCTTTCCTCTTCCTCTTCTGTTATGATGGTCTTCGACCACAAACCATTGGCGCATGCAGGCTCACCTGCCCTGCCGTGGGTTTGTCCAAGTGTATATAGATGCAGCTGGATTTTACAACACCAGCCATCACTGTTTTTACGGCTTAGCATTCAGGACCATAGGCAGGAGATTATTTCCCAACTGCACTCCAACAAGCTTGGATTATACATTCCACAGCTGTTCTTGGCTTCCAGACGTCTGCAGCTGCTTCTGCGAGCACGGCATGGACACGGGTGAGCACGTGCTGGCTCAGGTGCCAAGGCTGCCTGTAGAGAACAAGGCTATGCATCACAGTGTTGGTGAGGATTCTGGCCCCTGGAAACACATTAAGAAACCCCACAGCATATGGCTAGTGAGACTGTGACAGCCACCAAAGGATATTTGGTCATATAACTACACAGTGTGGTGCTCAGTCTAGCCAACAGGTTTATAAAGGTTTTATTTGTTAGTAAGTATCTGTTTTCCCAAATACTATCTTTCCTGGTTGCTTTCTTGTTGCTGAGAGAACCTGAACAAATGCTTTGAAGGGACACATGCTGATGTGAAGGGACAGGGCCACTGTTTCTGCATTATGTCAGACACTGGCTTTTGGACTGAGCTGTCTGTGTGTCACTATGTGAAGGAAACACTTATGGATTCCCATCCTCTGAAATCAAGGGTGGATGCTGCTTTGGGGTTTTGCATTTGATCTTTTCACTATCTATTAAAAATAATACAATGACATGCTTATTTGTAACTTTTAAAAAGGTAAACTTTACTTGTAAATTCCCATTGTAGTATTATCCCACAACATGGCAGTCAAGGTGCTGTAGTATTACTGATTTATTGCAGCGCTGGGAACTGAACACAGGTTTTCCTCCAGCTAAGCTCCATCCAAGCCCTCTATTTACTCTGTATCTGGAGACAGTATCTGTGCTGGGTAGCTCTTGTCTATGAAACCTCATCCTCTTATTTGTTCAAGTTACATCTTTACATACTGTGTGTTTATCAACTTTAATTTTATTATTTTTGCATGTACGCAAAATAGGAAAAAGGGATTTGTCAATTCCCAAGTCCATGTGTTCTTCCTTTCACATTTACCAACACTTATCCTTTGTTGCCATTCTTTCTTCCTGTGGGGTCATGTTCCAGGGAGTGCCCTGGGAGAGTCTCTCATTAGTACAGGTCTGACGATAGCGGATTCCTTTAGTTTCTGTTTTTCTGACAAATCTTAATTTCTCCTCTATTTTAAAGTAGCTTAACTGATACAATTTTCACATCACACAGTTCACCCATTCAAGGTACACAGTCCAGTGGCTTTTAGATATTCACAAATGCATGCAATCATAATCACAGTCAATTTTAGAATATTTTCATCACTAGAAAAAAAAGCCATATTCAGGCATGTCTAACCAGCTGTCCAGGGCTGCATATGATGACAGTTATGAATGCTGCTCCACCTTCAAAATCACAACTTAAACACTATGAGTTATTTTTCTGGCACCACAATTAGATGACTCTTGAACATGAACTCTGTAGATGACAGCATCATGCCACAATGATAAAAAGTGTGACATATCTCCTTGGGTACTTTAGCTGCCATGTCTCTAGATCTTTATCAAGTTTTAGAAGGACTGGTTTGGTCTAGCTCCGATCTGAATTCTGTTTGATAGTTGAACTTGGGTTTGTAGATCTGTGTATGGTTCTAATGCTCTTGTCTGTGCCCTGGAATCCCAACTAAGAGAACGCAAGATAACTGGTGCTCAGAGCATCACAGCAT